GACTCGTCCAAGCAGTCACTGCAGGGTCAGCAATGACTGAGCGCAGGCAAAAAAAAAAAAAATAATAACTTGCAGCTTCCATTAAAGGTGTCAGGATTTATTAAGGCTTTTTTGGATAATGGAGGGAAAGGGGGGAGTGGATGAAGGCTTTCAAATGAATCAGTCATTCTTCCTGGAAATATAACTGCTGAGTAGTTCCCTAGATCTCCACATAAACCCTCCCATTTCTTCTACACTATTCCAAATCAGAAAATGAAAAGTTTTCTGTAAAGATAATAACCTCAAACCAAAATTCAAATACCAAGTTTAACAGTTCTCAATACAATATGGGTTAGGAAATATACAAAGTCTGCATCTGTTGCACTGACAATTTGTAAATATACAAGGGATGCTCCTGAAGTGCAGCAGAAATTACATTTATTTATGAAAATAGATGTTTGTGTTGCATAGAATTTATATTTGGCTCAGTTCACAGTTGCATGTAAATAGTCAGATCCTTTATTTCTGTTTCCTAACTATGGCCAAGCTGGCTGGGAATTCTGGAAAGTGTACTCCAGTGTAACTGTTTAAGATTAGGGTTAAGTAACTGTAATAAGATTAGGGTGCTCTTAGAAATAATTATTTTACTTGAATGACCTGCAAAAATTTGAGGTAGTGCATGAAGAAATTTAAAAAGATTACCAAGTGAAGGAATTAATCTGCATCAGCTCCATATGTCAGAAGCTCGTTTGGAGATATATCTGGGGGCTATATGAATTTTGAATCTTTGCACTTGAAAGGCTCTCTTAACATATTCAGGTATTTCCCATTAATGTTCCAGTTTTTTTCTCTCTCTTTCTGCTGCTAAAAGTGAAAGCTGTGGAGGTTTTTCCAGGGACTAGAGAGAAGTGTTTCCTTTTGAGGTCAGCCAATTGCCCTTGAAAGCAAAATCCATTTACCTTATTTATCTTATAGCCTCTTGAACATACTTCTAGGAACCATAGTGGACCAATGATCACTTCATTCATATCAATTATGGAACAAAGAAGATGCTACATCTTAATATGTTAACTATAACACAAAGAAATTGTGTAAGATGCTTTAGAGTATGTATGGACAACTGGTAGCATGTGGGATGGACTTGAACACCACTGCAGTTTATTCAGCTAGTGGCATCTACACAGTATTTTAATCAAAACAAAAAGTTTGTGCATAGTTTCATTGTTATGAAATGCCAATGAAATGATTTCAAGTTGTATGTCACTCTCAGAGGCATCCACAAAAGTAGCCATGATTAAGCCAAGATATAAAATGTGTATCATGATACCCAAGCTCCACCCTTTAAGTACTTGTATGCAACATCATGACATAAGTACAAAAGGGGCAGAGTTTACACTGCAACACAATTGCTACTTCTTCCTTACAATCACACTTTCATTTTATAGTGTTTTTTGGGGGGGGATGTAAAAACATTAATTGTATAAATAGTGTGCAAAATGCTGTAGCTGACCACCTCCATTGCATAAATGCAGACTATCTAAGCACTCACTTTCTTAACAATAAGTTCCTCCCCTCTACCCCTGATGCATATCCAAAGAACAGAAAGCTTGAGAAGAAAAGCTCCATTCATCTCCACTCTAGGAACCAGAGGCACTGAAAAGCAATCCTTACATTCTGTATAATGGCTTTGAAGTCTATTTTGGGCTGAGAGGGACCTTTAATTTCTTTTTTATTCTTGTGAAGCTCCATGGGGACTGATGTCAAGCTGGTCTTGGCAGTTGCTAAAGCTGAGGCATGCAATTCATTCTGCCTGGCTAAAGTAGCTGAAGGACTTGATGGAATTGTTGCACTCCTGGCTGGGGGCCTGTGTCGGATGTCCTTCACACACCCAGCCCTGGTAAAGAAAGCAGGAAAGGGGTGTCCAGTCTTATCTTCACTTTCTTCCCATGAATCAGAAATTCCAAGTTCTGAGCATAGAGTAGACTGTGCAATTAATAGTTGATCCAATTGCTGCAAGAGAGAGAGAGAGAGAGAGATTGCCATCTAGTTGTAGTCCAGATGTTTGCAGCCCAAATTTGATAGGAATTCATAAGTAGCCACTCCACACAACTTGCTCAGGGCGTTGGTTTGTCTTTCACAATAAAATCCCCTTCTGTTTGAAAATGAGAAATTACTCCACAGGTCTCATTTCCAAGTGAATGGAATGAACTGGCAAATTCAGTGTGGAGCCATTGCCACCATATAAATGTTGGGGAGCCTTATCTTCAAATATATGGAATATTTGGCTATTTTGTTTTATTTATGTACATTCAATTCATGCATATTACAATGTTGTAAGGTTCAGAAATGGAGCTGAGGTAATTTCTATCGAACTGCTGTAGTTAGCTATGTAGATAATTCTTTAAAATTTGCATAGTGTGCCTCCTTTTATATTTTGCAATGGAAGACACTATAGTTCTATAAAATTATATGTGGCCAGTAAATAATGGTGGATATACTACAGGCTGCATGTGCAGGTGCTGTTTTTTTGCAGGCCAGAGCTAATGAAAACAGAATTTTAAAATGAAATAGAATATGGGATACAGCAAAATGTAACTTTGTAATATAAGTGTCTACTCAAGACACCATTTCCTTGCTAAAATTAGAAATAATTCCCATCATTTGTAAATGTTTACAAATACATACAGCTTTTTGGCTTTTTCTTTGACGATGACCTTAAAAAGCTAAGTTGAATTTCACAATTTTCAGTTGTTGTACAGGAACATATGTATAGTTGAAGAAGAACTTTTTATCAAGGAGTTAAAGAAATGGTATGGATATTTTCCCAATGTTTTCTCAGAGTAATGGACACTGCTGTTCAGAGAGAAGTACTCAAAAGCCCCAAAGCCCATTTTTGAATTCTCCAAAGAACTATACAAGGTGAATGCTCTCTAAAACCTCTCCTACCCTATGAAATGAGCAAAAGTCTTACCTGTTCTGGCTCTCAACCCTCCCCAGAGTCCATACAGACTTGGAGAGAACTTGAGGAAATGCTGCCTGAGAGATATGCTGCTTTTCCTTCAGCTTACTGAGCTTGGCCAAATAAGCTGAAGGATGGCTCAGCTCAATTGTTCACAGATCATTTAGTACACATCTGTGAGTTCTGTTTGAGAGGCTACAGCAAGTCAGTGCAGAAACACACTGCTCCGGAATGCCCTATAGTACTCTAGCTCTGGGAGCAGAGTGTTCCCAAGGTTATTGAAAGATAGTCTCATGGAAAACATGACACCTTGAATCAAAGGCAATCTGCTCATATAACCTACCATTAGAATTCTCTCCATGGCCTGGCAAGCCGGGTCCTGTAACTGGCATTTCAATTTAGCCACCTCTTGATGAACAGCCTGTCGCAAGGTCTGCATCCGTTGCCTTTCCTCTCTGTGGAACATGACATAGAGACAAGACAGAAGATGGCAACACAATCCTCAACAAAGCACAGCTCCCTTAATATAATCACAATGCAAAGGTAAAAGCTTTTGGTCAAGGAATCATACAACTTCTTAAATCAATGGCTTGATCCACTTAATTTCCCGTATTTGGGAGCAGTATGGAATCATGCCCATTTGTCCACAGGGTTCAGTTAGAATTACAACATATAACTGTAACAGATGGTTATTCTTAGCTAACATTAACTGTTTAGATTTTATAAAATGAAAAACTAACACACTTTTCTAGTCTTTTAAGGCTAAATATTGAATATTGAATCTCCCCACCCTGGTCAAATGGTTGGAGAGATGCAGTAGTGGCAGATCAAATGGGAAAGAGGGTACAACTGGCTCTACTTGCTATTGATACCATAATGATTTTTGCTTCGAGATCACTCTGTTCTGAATGCAGATATTTATACATTATTTTAAAGACGTCTTTTACTATACTTTACAGGGCAGAGAGCAAACACATTTGTTGGGCAACTATAAGCCCAACAAGTGTGTACTGTGCAATGGAATGATAACTATGTGTACATGGGATGTCATTACCGTCCTTCTTTCAACAGAACATTGGGAAAGAAAGCCTCTTGTTCTGCTAGGTGCTGCTCAATTTCATCCAGCCTTTCTTGAAACTTCCAGCATGAGTTTTTCATAACTTCAATTTCATGGACTGTACACTAAATACAATACCAAGAACAGACAACAATTTACTATGTATTTACAGTATAACAGTTATATGGTAGGCATGCTCATCTGTTGAGCAGTTACTACAAGAGGTTCTATAGTTTTGGGCAGAATCAACTTGAAGACCTTCCAGGAAAAATGCAAGGATGTGGGGAACCTATGACTATCCATGTATCACTGAATTAAAACAGCAATCCAACTAGCATGGCCAATGGTGAGGGAATAGTAGCTCTGTAACATCTCTGAATTAGTGGGAACCTCTATTCTCTACCCATTTATGGAAACCCAAATAATCATGCAATCCTAAAAAGAGAGACTCACTCTGGTTGCTAATATTTGTTTTATTTTATTGCCATTCCCCATTTCCAGCTTTACTGTGAGCCAAAAGAGGACTTTCTTTTTTATTACCTCCCTATTATATTCAGGATATTAGGATATTATAGGTTATTCGGGATATTATACCTTGAAGTCATATGCTTATATTTCTAAACAAGAGACACATATATACAACATCCTATTTTTAGGGTTTTTTTAAGTCATAGCAACTAAACATTTGGAAGTAGGAAAAAAGAGAAAACCATAATATTTCATCTGAATTGTTTGTTCTATTTACTCACAGTATTAATCTTGATGCAATGCAGTGTCATTAAGTATTGCCTTCTACGTTTACTGAGTAAAAAGTGGGAAAAATGATTCTGCTTTCCACAAATGTCAAAAGATGGGAAAAGATGCTAGGATCATATACTTAAAAGCACAACTTAGTCAGTTGTGAGTGGTTTATGAAACACTGCCATCTTGTGGCAAAAAAGCAGGAGTCTGGTAGCATCTGTGACAAAAGCTTAATGCCTTTTAATAAAATCTGTTCCTTGGAAAAGGTGCTACCAGACTTCTGATGGCTCTCCTCCTACAATGCCATCTTACAGACATATCAGTCAATCCCCAAAAGTTACAACCTAAAAAAAAAATGTATTACAAATAGTATTGAGAAATCCATTTCTCCCCCCTAGATAACAACAGTGTTTACAATGGACTTCCCAATTACAATTTGGTTTTCAGGTATCAGCGGTGACCTAAATTTTAGGCCCTCCTTGTACCATGATTGCACAGGGGCTGAACACTGTAAACACACCATCTGAATTTACCTCCTTTCTCTAGAAACAAAACATATTTTAGGTGGACACATACTTTAAATTGCAAACGGTATACTGGTTTAACCAGGTAACTACTCTATATTCATTGAACACATAGAAAAAGAGGTAGGATCACACCCACTGACTCCACAACCAACCTCTGTGTGATCAACCAAACCTTTAACCAGAATCTAATGCATGTCCAACTTCAATCAACTGTGTATGGATAGCTCACACAATTTGTAATCCTGAAAAAAGCAGAATTTCCAATCATACAAAAACAATAAAAATATTCATATAGACGTTGTAGATCTGAAGATTCTATGCAGAGGTTCATAAAGGGAACGTGGAAAAGTTCTTCATTCCCTCTCTGCATTCCATTTAGTCTGTGTGAAATCACTGCCTGAATAAGGTGACAAGAGATAACTGTAATTAAGTTTGCTGAACAAGAAAGCTTCCCCACGTGTGAAAAAGGGCAGGGGAAGCCAAATTGGAAGCCTCCAACTAAAAGGGTTTGGTAGCAGGTGATGAAAGAATGAATGGCAACAACTCTACCTGAGACCCTCTAGAGTTGTTGCCATTTAGACCAGACAGTAGCACTGGACTGGTGGAGACATGCTCCTATAGAATTGCAGAATTGGATGAAGGAACTTTAGAGTTCATTAAGTTCAATGCCCTGGTCAGGGCAAGATCTGCAATATTTCCATCTGATGGCTGTCAAGCCTTTGCTTTAATACCTACGGTAAAAAAAAAAAGTCCAGCACTCCCCTAGCACTCTACTCCAATGTCGAGCAGCTCTTGATGTTTTTCCTAATGTTTACCTGATATCTCTTTCCCTATAATTTCCACCCAGTGAAATTAGTTCTGCTCTCCAGGGCCATAGAATGTAGTTCTGATTCATGTTATGCATAAAAATGTTTAGATAGCTGGAGACAGCTATCAGGTCTTCTCAATCTTATTTCCTATAGCTAAACATACAGCACATTTTTTCCAACCATTTCTCATACAGCTTTCAGTCCTTCTACCATTCTGGTTGGTGTTCTTAAATAATCTGGAGTTCATTGTTATTTCAGACATCTAACCTGATTGCTAGCAGAACATAGTCTTAACTCATCAGACTGACAAAATATTAACTATTACATTTCATTTAGCAATACTCACAGAAGAAATATTTCTCACTGCTGAGTCCTGCAGTAGTCTGAGAGTCTTCTGAAGCTTTAGCTCTATAGTGCTGGGAGAAGACCAGCACATCATGGAATATTTGCATGGTGGAGCTAAGGGGAAAGACCTCATAAAGCAACAGTGATGGGAGTTCAAAGAGCAACAGTGAGCCATTGGCTGGGCACACCAAGTATTCAAAGGTTCGTGGCAGTAAGCTCTGTATTCCCTATAAAGTCCTGTATCTAAAGAAGCAGACTTCACAAGGCGACCATGCCCATGAAAAGAAGGGAAGCAGTGAAACAGGGGAAGAGTTTCTTTCTTTGCTTGCCTCTTACTGGTTTGAGCAGAAGCTTCTTTTGTCTCCTTTGATTCAAGGAGAACTGATGAAACCAGAGACTCATTCCTAGGGCACTGGGACATCTTGGATGAGAAAGCCATAGATGGATTTTTGATGGCAGTTTCACCCAGTGATATGCTTTGCATATTTGATATCAGTTTTGAAGGCATCTGGACTGTAACAGATTTAAAAGAGTTTGCATTTATTTCAGAGTCAGGAACATACCCATCTTTGTTTAATTCTGTACTTGGTGGTAATAGATCCAAAGGACCAAGTTGTCTATTTTTAAAATAGGAAGGGGAAAGGCTGGAGTCTTGAAGAGTGCAACTATCTGAAATAGCATTGACCTGTGGGGATGCAGCCCTGCTGTCATACTCATATTTGGAGGCTATAATATCCACATGCCTTAATGTATCCTTGAAATTAGCATCTTGACACTCACTTGTGACATTTGTTACTGAAGTGGGAAAGTCCAACTGTTCATAAGGCTTCATTTCATACAATTTTCCTTCTACACACTCTGCTGTATCTTCTAAAACATCTCTTCTACATACAAGTCCTCCTCCTCCTCCTCCTCCTCCTTCTCCTCCTCCTAAAAGTTTTTCACATTCTTTTCTACCCTGACAGTTTTGGCCACCACTAAATCTAATTAGTGGTGACATGGAATTTTCCTCTGTGGAAAAAGAACCTATAGTTAGGTGCTTTTTACTGAAAGAAGAAAATTTATTCCTTTCTGGAGCTGAAATACAGTCTTCTTTCTCTTGTCGTCCTCTTCTACCATGCATTTCATTCTCATCCATCACATTTACTGCTTTCCTGACAATATTTTCAGACTGACCACTGTAAGTGTCATATGAAATATCTTCTTCATTTATGGAATAAAAGATTTCCTCTCCCTGTAAACTGTTTTCTTCACTCAGGCTAGGCAGTAATGAAACAGTGTTATCATCTATTATTGATATGTTAGAAACAGCCCCTTCTATATGGGACTGGTGATCCTGAGTCATAAGCAAACATTCTTCCCTGTGTTGTGAAAATTCTTGATAGTCATGGGAATGGCAGCTGAATCTCTTGGTTATCGGCGGAGGTAAACCCTGAAACAAAAATCAAAGAGTCTTAAATATTCACATTAAGCAAAATCAATGTTATTTGAATGAAAAAAAAAAAACTGAACTAGTTTAGGCTGCAACCTTATTTCCATTCCCTTGAGATTATATGCCACTAGTCTCAGTGGAGCTTAAAATTTGAGAAGACACATATAGAATTGTACTATTAGCATGGCTCCAGCTTATTGGATTTAGCATGTTTAAAGTTTTGTAGTCAGTTATATCTTAACTGCCCACTATACTGGAGTTTATATGTTTTCCATAATTCATGTGCTAGTCATTAATGGCATTTTATTGTTCTGGATATTTAAAAATGATTTTAGTAATTTATTAAGTTTTTAATAACTCTGTAATCTGCTCAGAGAACTTCAGTTATTGGGCAGATTAAAAGAATAATAAACTAAGAAATATATTGTCATACTTAGCATTTCTCTACCCGCCCACCCCCATGCCTTTTTAACTTAATGGAATATGATTGATATTATTTCAGCATATAAACATAAGGACACAATACTAACAGACCAGTATGAACAAGATTGTACATAAGACTACACATAGGACACTAAGTGATGTGCAGTCTGCTATAATTGTAGTTCCAGACAGAGCTGTAGTTCTAGCTGTAGTTCCAGGTACACTAGTTCCACAAGTAGAGGACCCCAAGCCAAAGGACCTCTAAAACTCAGTTCCACTCAGTTTTTTTATTAGAAAGTCCTTAAAAGTCTTACTTGGCCCTGCAGTTCTTTCTTGCTATAGAGATTCCCAGAGTTTCTGCAGCTTTGTTCTGCATAACTTTAAATATGAAAAAGAGATTAAAGTGCCACTCTCAGTAGGGGAGAAGAGAGAAAGAGGAACGAGAGAAAGAATGACTGGGAGGGGTGGGGAGTGGAAGAAACTGCAAAGGGGAGCATCCATGACTTTGTGGGACCCAGCTCTCCCGAACCTTGCAGCACCGCACTTCACAGATGCACTAAGGCAGCCAGAATCAAAGTCACTCAGGAAAAACCGGAGCAGCTGCCTAGTGAAGAACCTTGAGGAAATACAGCAAGGCTTCTAGAATCTGAGTATACTGCATGTCGCAAATAATGAGAGAAATTGGTGCTGAGTAAAAATAGCTATAATAAAGGACCAGGGTAGATGAATACGGTCTAGTTACTGTATATTTGAAATTTGGGTTTGCAAAATAGCAAGGATAACTATTCCCACTATTCTGTTGTGAAAAGAAAATGCTCAATTCAGAAATGTATTTTAGTAAAGACACTTCAGAATTAATATATTCTGAAAACAGCAGGGTCACTTAGAAATCAGCAGAATGGCATCTCCCAAGCACTGAGTGTAGTTTTTAATTGATTTCAGCTTCTGATTCCCCAGTTACCTGCAGTGGTAGGGGCTCCAAAGGATCTTCCAGAAATCCACTGCTGTCTGACTGGCAGCTGTTTGCTCTTGTTGCTATTGCATCTATTGTTAGAAAAATTAAAGTGAGTGGAATAATTGAGATGAAGAAAATAAGACTTTTTATTTTGGGTGTTTCAGCATGCAGTGCTCATGATAACAGCTAAAAATGTTAGATGGGGTCTTTTTTTCTTTTCTTTTCACTCCTAAAGTCAAAGTATGTTTCTTAGAAATCTCCTTACTGCTAACTACCAGTGAAAATATATTTGTTAAGAGTCTGTCCCTAAAACCTTATGGGATCCTCTTGACGAAACCAAAGGAGAGGGATAATAGGATTTTATAAATAATGCACAGGGTCAAGAGGGTAGGACTGTACTCATTCAAGGTTCTCCCACATCATTTTGGCTATATTGAGAAAGTAATTGAAGGTGTTGTACAGTATACCTGGAGGAGCCATCTTGAGGCAAGCTGAATTAGGCATATGTATCGCATTGGTCTACTTACATTGTTACATTTTATTTGATATATTATAAGTTACATTCTAATATTGTTATGGTTTTTATTTCTCTCTCTGCTTTATCTTGTCGATTTGGTTTCTTATTAATTCAGATGGCCAAAGGCCACAAAATAAACATAACCACAATGATATGACTGCCATGCATTAAAGGGAAAAAATATAAAACCAAGGATCATAAAAGCATATTAATCTTCATAAAGCTTATGCACAGTAAAGTAAATGCAAGAATTTAATCTATAAACAATGGGGATTAACCCCAAAGATAAAGCATACATTAAGTCCAGTGCTGTGATCCCAAACACATTTACCTAGGAGTAAAATCCTGTGGAGCCTGGAAAGAGTATTTAATTTGGAAAAGTATACTCCATCACTACCTAGTCACCAAACCTGTGGCATTGTGCAGAAGCTTCTGTTGCACAAAGGTCTACTTATGTTCAGGTCGTGGAGGGAATTCTGTCTCATAAAGAAAATCAGTATCCTAAATATAAAACAATCCCACCCAATTATTCAGCACCAACTCAGAACAGAAGAGAAAGATTTAGAGAAGTAGCAGCTCAAAACTTTCATGAGCACAGCAACAGCATCACATCATAACGCTGTATAAAAGCTACGGTATCTATAGTCTTTCACGCACATCTGATCACAGTAAGTGGAGTACTTCAAACTAATGGCCAGCAGGTGGCAGAAAGAGACAAATATCAAATACAGAACATACAATACAGGAACAAAAAAAGGTGAGTTTCTGGAGATTCTGGAGGCTCCTGGAGCGCTGGTCATTGTTCTGCAATGTTGCTGTTTGAGTTGGTTGTAAAAGTAACAATAGGAGCTTACTTATTAGTATATATACAAAGGCTCACACTGTAGACTGAAGCCTATGCATTTAGAGGGTCTAAGTCTTAAGTAAACACATACTGTACAATAGGTGAAGCTCAAGACATTGCTCTCACTGGTCCCGTTGTTATGACACATTTACAGTCCAAGTCAGTTGACTCTTTTTGTATGCTGGCAGCCTACAGGATTATCACCACTGCCTGCCCAGCAACTCTGAAAACACTAACTGGTGCAGCATAAGGAAGACTCCCGTTTCATGGAACAACTCTGATAATACAAACCAGCAAAACGTTTTTTGAAATGCATCTTGAAGCTAAACATCAACGACATACAACACATCAAAGTTCATTAAACAACCCAAACATAACACAATTTTTCTGAAGTTCTAAATGTACCCAGAAGTCCAGCATGTACAAGATATAAAAACATGCACAGACTGTAAACATACACTAAAGTTCAGTAAACCAACACAAACCATCAACACAGAATGATATGCCATTCACAGAATTTGCAATTTAATTGCTTTTTAAAAGAAAAGTACAGATGGGAGGTCTTTACACTATGACTCTGGGGTAGAGTCACTGAGAAGTTTAACCCTTGGATTACTACTGGGAATCCAATCTGGAATATGCTTCCTGAGCTGTTTGGGGGAGGGGAGGAGATTTCACTCACTCTAAAATGTTTTCCCAATGCAAATAGGAGGGATGTGTCCACTATTTAGAATAAACAGGGGGCAAAATTTTAAATCTCCATATTCCCTCATAGCAGGGCTCCATTCTACTTCACATCTGATTGATTGATTGATTATGTGTCATCAAATCAGTGTTGACTCTTAGCAACCACATAAATAGATTTTTTTCCATTATGATCTGTTCCTAACATGGTCTTTGAGGTCTTCCAATAGAGCACCATTGCCATTATAACTGACTCCATCCACCTTACTGCTGGTCATCCTCTTCTTCCTTCCACTTTTTCCAGCATTAGAGCCTTCTCCAGAGAGCTAGGTCTTTGCATAATGTGTCCAAAGTACGAAAAATTGAGCCTGGTCATTTGTGCCTCAAGTGAGAACTCTGGGTTGATTTGTTCAATGATCCATTTGCCTGTTTCCTTGGCTGTCCATGGCATTCTCAGGAGTCTTCTCCAACACCAAAGTTCAGAAGCATCAATACTCTTCCTATCTTGCTTCTTTGAAGTCCAACTTGATATTCTTGCACGTTTCCTAAATCCCACAAAATTTCAGCAATTTGACCAGATGAGATTACCAACGCTTTGCACAAAATTTCATGCACAAGTTCACAAAACCTATGTGTAACCTTGCACATGATCACTGAAATCTCTTAACATTTCACAATATCATGGGTTATTTGATATCAAGCTTTTCTTGGAGGATTGGTAGACTGTTGGCCCTGATGTAACCAATTGTTTAAATAAAAGCTCTCTAAATACCATTCTTCCTAGAGCCTTTGCCTTAGAGCGTTATTAACAGTAAGCCTCCTCCCTCTCTCCACACATATTGGAATCAAAATAGCACATCATCAATGTTAGAAGAGTATAGCACTATGGATAAAAACAGTGTCTTTTTTTAAAAAGTCAACTATCAATGACTCCCATACAGTCTGAATTTTATCAGAAATGAGAATAATAAGCCCATCTTTGAGTCACATAAAAATAATTGCCAATCTCAGAATAAAATGAGATTAATAAAAGCATCACAAGATGCTAATTCACCTTAACAATGGCCTTTGACCCCTTTTCTTCCCTAAGGAATGATACATCTTTGCCAGGTTCTCAGAATGTCCTTCCTTCCCAGATGTTCATATTATCTTCATCTTATTACCTGGCTTTAGTCCAGTCTCTAATCCCTGCCAAACAGTAAAAAAGACAACTGACATCCGTGTTGAGTTCTAATAAAAATGAGACACAAATCTGTGTGCATGAGAAGCAGAGATGATACTGCAGACCAGCCTTCCCCAGCCTAACACCCTCCAGATGTGTGGAACTTTAAAGTCCCTTATCCCCAAGCAGCACAATTAGTTTGGGAAAGGCTGGTCTGTAGATTTTTCTTCCCTTGGCAGTTGCTGGAAGAAAGTGGTACTGGAAGAACTGACTCTTTGGAAATTCAACATCTGAAAGGAAAAAAACAACAACACTAAACTGTCTAATATCATTGGCAGAAAACATGGGCAAACCTAATATAGGATAGAACATTGTATACATTAAAAATACCAAGGAAAGATATTTGGCTTCTGGCACAGAGATCATCAGGCAACAAAGCTTGTTCTAATATTGATTTATATACAGTGGGAAACAAAGTCAGTTCACATGCTACCTTTGCCAGCTTTCTTGCCTGGAAGTTGTTTTCCCAAGCCCCAGAGGGTAGCTTCCTATCATTTAAACAATACAGAACTCTCGTCTATAACTAGCTGGATAGCTTTTTGGTGGTTGAGGCCCTCATGTTTTAAAATGATTACTTCAGCTGATGAGGGAAGAATGGACCATAGGAACAATGACATCATTGAAAGAAGACATAAGATGTCAATCTGTTTCTTTTTATTTAGCACATCTAATTCCTTTGGTTTTCCACTGATGGAAGATTACATTGTCATTGTTTGGCAGTTTGCTGCTAAATTTAGAAGTTTTAGAAGTTCCAAGGATTGCATGTGTGTGTGTGTGTGTGTGTGTGTGTGCACGTGCACGTGTGCATGCACGTATTCCTGTTTTATAGTGTAGATGGACCAATTTTCTGATTTGGTGCTAATTTGGTAATTCTTGCAGATACAGCTTTGTCCCTTAGACCTGAGTTTAGAACCACCCTCAAGAAGACAATGAAACATGAATTGAAGAGAAAGGACGCTCTCATACGTCACATCTCCTTTGACGCCCTTTGAAGAACAGCCAAATTTACAAGAAGTAAGGTAGAACAGGGCAGATAGTGCTGTCTGTTTATTCACTGAAATGAGCCAATGAACTTATTAGCATGAGATTTAGGACTGATGAAAGAAAAAAATATTTCACCAAATGCATCATTAATTTACAGAACTAACTGCCACTAGTTGTGGTAAAAGCCACTAGTGTAGATGGATTTAAAAAGGGATTAGCCAAATCTACAGAGAATGAGCCCATCCATAGCTATTAATCATGATAGTCTGATATGAACCACAGAATCCTAGAGGGCTTACATCATTGTGCTTTGTATGCTCTGCCTATATGTTTCCCACCAAATGTAGAAAACAGTTTTGGAGTAGAAGGAATTTGACTCTCATCTAGCAGGACTTACGTTTTTAATTCAGGAAGGTAATGGATTTTTGACATAGAAGTTTCTTTTATCTTGATTTCATCTAAGCAAAGATTTGATTGACAACCAGATTGGTGTAGTGGTTAAGGCACCAGGCTAGAAACTGGGATAATATGAGTTCTAATGCTGCCTTAGGCACAAAGCCAGCTTGATGACTTTCAGCCAGTCACTCTCCCTCCGCACTAGGAATATGGAATTGGCAAACCTCTTTTGAAAATGTTGCCAAGAAAACTTCATGGACCTGTCCATGTAGTCACCAGGAGGAGTCAAAACTGACTTGAATAACCATAACAACAAAACTTGGTTATCTCTTAAAGGAAGCAAATGCTTAAATGTCTTGCTGAAGACCAAAGTGATGCCTTTGAGTGGCTCAAGGTTCACTCAAAGCACTTCAGCTACTTCAGATCTTTCAAGAATCCCATA